TGTCTTCATGTACATCAAATCATAACGGCCTGTTCTTTGAAATTCCATAATCTCATTACATATCTTCTCAAGATATTCCTTTTTGGCCCTGTCCGTGGCTCTTTTCAATTCATTCCTCAGTCTCCTGTATTTCCTCCTGCCTTCTTCATTGTTGACATTCTTCCATTTCCTTCGCTCCTCCATTTTACTCATCATCTCCTGTGTAACCCATGGTTTTCTTGCTATCTTCTCAACTTTACCAACCAATTCGCTAATAGTATCTAACATGAATTCTTTTATATTGTTCCGGTGCACTTCAGCATTTCTGCTTTCACTTTCAATTGCACTGAGTTTCTCTTCTAGGGTCTCCTGCACGCTTTGTCTTTGAGCATATAACTTCTCCAAATCCCATCTAGGTCTGCGCTTTGGAATCTTATAATTTTCTTCAAACTGGTTTGAAATTTGGCAACCAGTAAGTTGTGGTCAGAGTCAATATCTGCCCCAGGCAGCGTCTTCATATCATTCACACTGTCTTGTTCATAATTGAAAGTAAAATAAATAATTTTATTAGCCTCTGTCTTTCCCACAGATATGATTTGGTCTTTGAATCTGTATGAATATGCATGTAATGTATGTATGTATGTATGTATGTATGTAGGTAGGTAGGTATGTATGAATGTAGATCACTGATTTTATTTTTTTTTGTTATCAGGTCTGATAACAAACCAGTGCAATATCTGAATACTGAAATGAAAACTACAAGTAAGAATGAAGATATAATTCCTATATACAATTACGTATCATCGACACAGAATCCTATTACGTGGGGCGAGTTTATGAAATTGAACGAGTATGGACTTAACTACCCATCTTTGAAATATATATGGTATTATTTCTTCATTCTCAACAAGCACAGGTTCATCCATAATATCTACATCGTATTTTTGCAACTCTTGCCAGCTCTAATCACAGACGCTGGAGCTAAGATCATGGGCAAACAACCAATGTGAGTATCTCTAAAATACTTTGCACCAAACTTAAATACAGAAACTTACAACTCCATATTAAACGGGTCCCTTGTCATGGTATAGAATGCTTAACAGCAGAAAAGTAGTTGTAGACAGCTGATAAGAGGTGGTCCTTCAGCATAGGATTCACTAACAGATTGACTGACTGAGAAGTTCAAAGTGGGTTCAACTACTGTGGTCTTATACTCCTCAAATAATCCAATCAAAGTCACAAACTCAGAGAACTAATATTAACATGATATTCCCTTCACACCAGAATGTAATGGTTATAGTGCCATGGCTTGATCTCCGGAATAAAGCAATGGCATTTCCTCTGTTATGTGTATAACAGTAACACTGTCACAGAGCTCAGTGCTGGGCTGATTCACTCTCACCATTAAAAAGAAGCTTGCCATGAAAATTCCTGAATCATTTTGGAACTGGTTTGCTTGTCTATTTTAAAAACTGAGTGCATCTGCATTATGTTGGAGGATTTATTACTCCCAATAATGAAGACAAGGTACTGGGGAGGAGGCAAACCAGACATCTGCCCTGCCCTAAAATAGGAATTGAAGAAAATAGGAAACTATGTCAAATATTAGAAATAATGAAGAAAATACTAAAATTACTGTTCTCTTCTGAATACTCAAGGGCAGTCAGTAAAATAAACAGAATTACTGGGTTTCTGGACTTTCTCCATTGTCCAGTATTCTAACAAACAGAGAAAATGACCTTAAACTCAGAGGTGGCTTTGTTTGAATATTTGAATCTGTTTCCAGTCCTGAGGCAAGGGGGGGAAAACACCTACTCAGTTGAGCCCCTTAGAAAGAGCTAATCTCATTCACTGGACAATCCCTGTCAGATTTACACAGCTACTTAAAAATGGACTTAAATTGTTTATATTGTCACGTGTCTTGAGTTCGAATCTCGTTGGTCACGTGTGTAAGTCCAAATCCCACTTCTGACACCAATTGTAACGTGTTTCGTTACTGAAGACGCCGTAGAGATCGTTAATTGGTTTATTTAACAACCTACAAGTAACGGCTACAATTAATTATAACACAGTTGTGGGTTTCACACTTTACAAACCCTACAACCAAATCTCTTCACACTATCTTCAAGAGTCTTCACATATTAATAACGTGGGAGCTATACAAATCTCTCTGTCTCACACACTCCCGATTACACAGTTACACACACGTCCGGTTCTTCTTTCCATGACAGCTGCTATATTCCAACTCAATTCGCAGGCTGCTGCCTTGAGAACTCTTGATAACACACTGGCTCGACTACTACTGAACTCGGCGATGGTCACATTTCAACTAACTTCGCAGGCAGCGCAGCTCTCTTATATAGGGGCTGTGTGGGCCTGTTACGTAGCAACGCTGTTACCTCACGCTGTCTTACGTCACTGCGTGTTGCGTGTTATGTTACCGTGCAGAGGAGGGGGGGAGGGGAGCGCTGACTCATCCGCCACGTCACTGTGGCATGAATTGCCACGTTGCTGCTGGGTAGGGAGGGGTTCTCCGTTGCGCAACATGTCACACTATGTAAGTTTGAAAGCAAACTTTTTGGCTGTCCCTCCTTGGAAAGAATCCTGGTACACCCATGACTGGAGGCAGTGTCAGGCTTTGAAATATTCACTGTTTCTTAGACTTAAACTTATGATTGAGAGTATGATTACTTCATTTGTTCAGAACCTCAAGTTTATAAATTCTAATATATTACAGAATGTTGAAGGCATACCAGAAGATTTTCAGGTTCACTGACGTTATTGCATACTTCAGCACTAAGCAGTGGAACTTTCATAATAACAACGTCCAGAATCTCTGGAAAAGGATGAGTCCTCAAGACAAGATTCTATTTAAATTTGACATGGCTTTGCTAGACTGGGAAGTGTACCTTTCCAGTATGATTAAAGGAATACGGCTTTACTTCTTAAATGAACCTTTTGAAAGTATTGAAAAGGCAAAGACTCGATACCAAAGGTGTGTATGTAATTAAGAAACGTGTTTGAACAAATGTATATATTCTACCTATGTGGATTTATTATTACTACCAATATCATGGTAGAATTTATAAATAAGTCAGCTGATCAACATTATTAAAATGGTTGACAAAGTTGTGTGCTTTGGCATTAATGATCTGCCATCAACAGACCTTCACAAATGAGATGCATAAATAGAGTTTTACGTTTATATTAAGTGCCAGTGATGGATGAGGGTGACCATGCAGTCATTTATACAATGTAACTGGTGTATATAAGCATAAAATATTCGTCTCTAAAACAGAAATAAAACTTTAGGAAAGAGACTTAAAATTGCTCCATGGTTGTCAGTGCTACTAAGGTTTTCTGAGTCCCATGGTTGTGTTGTGTTTAGATGTGGTAGTGATTAGCACACTCTGTAAGGAAACAAGTCATGTTAATAACATACATAGAGATTGAAGAAGTATTCAGAAAAAGTTGACTGCAAAGATACTTGAGACAGAACACTCAGCTAGATGCAGTGGTGTGATGTCCTGGTAGTTGACTGCATGCTGACTTGCAGTAGACTGTGGTGTGTTGTGCTGCTTTGTGGTTGGTAATGACATTGAATGTGGGGCTCTAAGCATTTATGTAGGTGTTGTTTCAATGTACTCTCTGTTCTTTGTTATCATAATTGTGGAATCATTCTCAAGACACTGAGGAGTTTTCCTTTTCTATTAATATGTAAAATTTCCATGCTATCTTCTATTTTTTCATGAGTGATCAGTTTAAAACAACGCACAGAGTTCATTGGAGAGGCTCAATCTCAAGAAATTAAAAAAGATAGAGGGTAAACAGCATAATTGTGTTCAAATCTTAAGCAGGTTTGTGGCTTTGGAAAACGTAGACACTGAGGTTGATATTAATGAAACCTGGGAAACTATTAGAAAGAATATCAAAATTTCTTCCAAAGAGAGTCTAGGTTATTTTGAGATGAAGATGCATAAGCCATTGTTTGATGAAGGATGCTGAATATTATTAGAAAAAAAAAAAAAGTCAAACTGCAGTGGTTACAGGATCAAAGCAAAATAAATGGCGATAATCTGAATATAAGACATGAAACCAGCAGGCTTTTCAGGAATAAAAAGAGGGAAAATCTGGAAGATAAAATTGATGAGCTTGCAACGAACAGTAGGAACAGGAATGAGACTTGTTTAGAGGAATAAATTACTTCAAGAAGGGTTACCAACCTAGAAGTAACTTAGTGAAGGATGAGAATGGTGATCTGCTTGCAGATTCCCACAATATTTTGAATAAGTAGAATAACTACTTCTCTCAGTTATTGAATGTACATAGGGTCAGTGATAGCGACCTCCGTAGTCTAGAGGTAACGTTCCCACCTCATGACTCGTAGTACGCGGGTTCAAATACCCGGCGGAGGTCGTCGAATTTTTAAGGGCAGAAAAATTCAGGGAACCAGTCCTCCGGGAGGGACTTTAAGCTGTGTGTCCCGTGTCGTAACTTTACAGCACGTAAAAGAACCTCATATCCCCAAAGGGGATCACTGAGCCAAATTCAAGGACG